GGCGCAGAATGGTCCAAAATTGGGTTTAAATTGGGTTTTTTGGGGATTTTTTTGGTGTGGGGTCATTGAAATCCAGCCCAAAATTCCCAAATTTCCACCCAAAATTCCCAAAAATCCCGAAATTCCCACCCAGAATTCCCAGAAAGCCGAAATTCCCAAAATAATCCCAACCCAGAGGCTCAAAATGGTCCAAAATTGGGGTTTTTTGGGATTTTTTTGGTGTGTGGTCACTGAAATCCAGCCCAAAATTCCCAAATTCCCACCCAGAATTCCCAAAAATCCCAAAATTCCCACCCAGGATTCCCAGAAATTCCAAAATTCCCCAAAAAAATCCCAACCCAGAGGCTCAAAATGGTCCAAAATTGGGGTTTTTTGGGATTTTTAGGAGTTTAGGGGGAAAATTTTGGGATTTTCGGGGAAATTTTGGGATTATTGGAAGTTTAAGAAGAAATTTTGGAGATTTTTGCAAATTTAGAAGGGGAATTTTGGGATCCAGGTGGGAATTTTGGGATGAAAATGGGAATTTTAATGATTCCACACCAAAAAAATCCCAACCCAGAGGCTCAAAATGGTCCAAAATTGGGTTTAAATTGGGGTTTTTTGGGGATTTTTTTGGTGTGGAATCATTAAAATTCCCATTTTCATCCCAAAATTCCCACCTGGATCCCAAAATTCCCCTTCTAAATTTGCAAAAATCTCCAAAATTTCTTCTTAAACTTCCAATAATCCCAAAATTTCCCCGAAAATCCCAAAATTTTCCCCCTAAACTCCTAAAAATCCCAAAAAATTCCCAAAAAATCCCCAAATTTTCCCCAAAATTCCCAAAATTTTCACCAAAATTCCCAAAAATCCCCAAATTTTCCCCAAAATTCCCTAAAACTCCCAAAAATCCCCAAATTTCCCCCAAAATTCCCAAAAAATCCCCAAAATTCCCAAAAATTCCCAAAAAATCCCCAAATTTCCCCCAAAATTCCCAAATTTCCCCCAAATTTCCCCAAAAAATCCCCAAAATTCCCCAAAAACTCCCAAAATTCCCCAAAATCCCCAAATTTTCCCCAAAATTCCCCAAAATTCCCCAAAATTCCCCAAATTTCCCCAAAATTCCCCAATTTCCCCCCAAATTTCGCTCCTAATTTGGATTTTCCCGGGGTTTTTTGGCCCTGGGGGTTTTTGGGGGTCCCGAGTTGATTTTTGGGGGTCCCAGGAGGATTTTTTGGGGTTTTCCCGCTGATTTTGGGCTGTTTTCCCCGGTTTTTAGGGCACTTACATTTATTTTGACTACGAGAAGTGGGGGCAGCGCAAGAAGGAAGGATTCACCTTCGAGTATCGATACCTGGAGGATCGGGACCTGCAGTGACCCAAAAACCCCAAAAAACGCCCCAAAAACGGCCCCAAAATCCCCCAAAATCCAAAAAGCTTTGTCAGAGTTGGAGGAAATGGCAAAAAACCCCCAAAAAATGGCTCAAAACTCAAAGAAATGGCAAAAAAAAACCCAAAAATGGCCCAAAATTGAAAGAAATGGCCAAAAAAAAACCCGAAAATTGCCCAAAAATGAAAGAAATGGCAAAAAAAAACCCAAAAATGGCCCAAAATTGAAAGAAATGGCCAAAAAAAACCCCAAAAATGCCCAAAAATGAAAGAAATGGCAAAAAAAAAACCCAAAAAGTCAAAGAAATGGCAAAAAAAAACCCAAAAATTGAAAGAAATGGCAAAAAAAAACCCCAAAAATGGCCCAAAATTGAAAGAATTTTAAAAAAAAACCTCCAAAAAGTCAAAGAATTGGCAAAAAAACCCCCAAAATCGAAAGAAATGGCAAAAAAAAAAACCCAAAATGGTCCAAAATTCCAAGAATTTGCAAAAAAACCACCAAAAATGGCCCAAAATTGAAAGAAATGGCAAAAAAAAAAACTCCGAAATTACCCAAAACTCAAAGAATTTGAAAAAAAAAAAAAACCCAAAAAGTCAAAGAAGTTGCAAAAAAAAACCCCAAAATTGCCCAAAATGGAAAGAATTCGCAAAAAAAAAAACCCTCAAAAAATTCCCCCCCAAAAAAGTCAAAAAAAACCCCAAAAAACTCCTCAAAAAAAAGTCCAAAAATCTCCAAACAACCCCAAAAAAACTCCAGAAAAAAAAAAAAAAACAAAAATTACAAAAAAAAAAAAAAATCTCAAAAAATAAACCCCAACATTAAAAAATAACACAAAAATCCCCAAAAAATTTTGGGATGAAAAACCCCAAAACCCCTCGGATTTCCCCCAAATTTTCCCAGTGCTGCAGCTGGGCTGAGCAAGAAAATATTCGATTTTTTGGGGTTTATTTTTCATTTTTTAAGGGGTTTTTATTCCCATTTATTTGGGGATTTTTTCCAATTTTTTGGGTTTTTTTTTTCCATTTTGGGGGATTTCTTTTTCAGTTTTTTTGGGGTTTTTTTTCCTATTTTTTCTGAGTTTTTTTCCCATTTTTGGTTTTTTTTTCCCAAGCTTTTTTGGGATATTTTTCCCTTTTTATTCCCATTTTTGGGGTTTTTTTTCCCCTTTTTTTGGTGATTTTTCCCTTTTTTTTTCCCATTTTTTGGGGGTTGTTTTTTCCCATTTTTTGGATTTTTTTTCCCAATTTTTTTTGATAATTTTTCCTATTTTTGGGGGATTTTTTTCACATTTTTTGGTGTTTTTCCCCTTTTTTTTTTTTAATTTTTTTTCCCATTTTCTGGGGTTTTTTTCCCCATTTTTAGGGTTTTTTTCCCATTTTTGGGGGGGTGTTTTTTCCCATTTTTTTCCTTTTTTTTTGATGTTTTTTTTCCCATTTTTTAGGATTTTTTTCCCATTTCTTTGGGGTTCTTTTTTCCCATTTTGGGTTTTTTTTTCCCTTTTTTTTGTGTTTTCCTCCTTTTTTTCCCTTTTTTTCATGTTTTTTTCCCATTTTTTGGATTTTTTTTGGACATTTTTTGGGGTTGTTTTTCCCATTTTTTTGGTTTTTTTCCCTTTTTTTGGGGGGTGTTTTTTCCCATTTTTTCCCCTTTTTTTTTGGGGTTGTTTTTCCCATTTTTGGTGTTTTTTGGGGAAGGGTCTCCGAGGGTGGGGGAGGGGTTTTGGGGTCTCTTTCCCTCCCCTCCCAGCAGTTGAAGATATTTTTCGTAAAGTTATTTTCATTTTGGAAAATATTTATGAATAAATAGTTTTATATCTCACCTCCTCCTGGGGGGAGGGGAATTCTCATTTTTTGGGGGGGTTTGGGGGATGATTTTGGGATCCAAAACTCTCCAAAAATCTTCTTTCCCACCCAAAATTTCCCATTTTCATTTAATTTGCCCCGGTTTTATTTTAATTTTCACAATTTGATTTCCCCCCCCCTAAAAATACTTTGGACTCTTCCAACCCAGGGGGGGCCTAAGGGGGTTTGGGAGGTTCCATTGCAGTTCTGGGGGGGTCCTGGGGGGGATTTTGGGGTCCCAGGTGGATTTTGGGGGGTCTCAAGGTGAATTTTGAGGATCCTGGATCTGATTTTGGGGTTCCAGGAGCCGATTTTGGGGTCCCAATGATGATTTTGGGGTTCCTGGATCCGATTTTAGCGATTCCGGTGCCGATTTTGGGGGTCCCGGTGCCGATTTTGGGGGTCCCGGAGCCCCTCCAGCAGCTCCCTGCTCCGGGCGGCCTCGGCGGCCTCGCGGGCCAAACGCTGCCGCCGCAGCTCCTCCAGCCTGCCGGGACAATTAACGCTAATTAGTGCTAATTAACCGGGGGGGAGGGGCCGTTGGGGGGAGGGGGATGGGGATAATAATTAATGGGATAATCAGGTAATGATGGGGTGATTAAAGGGTCAGGTTAAGGGGTGGTTAGGGGTTAATTAAGGGGTAATTAGGGTCTAATTAAGGGATAATTAGGAGTAATTAAGGAGTAAATAAAAGCAATTAAGAGTACGGTAACTTAGGGGTAATTAGGAGTATTTACGGTAAATAAGGGGTTATTAGGAGTAATTGAGAACTAATAAAGAAGTAATTAGTGGTATTTAGGGGTAGTTAAGGGGTAATTAAGGGGTAATTAGGAGTAATTGAGAAGTAATAAGTAATTAGTGGTATTTAGGGGTAGTTAAGGGGTAATTAAGGGGTAATTAGGAGTAATTGAGAAGTGATAAAGGAGTAATTAATTGTATTTAGGGGTAATTAAGGGTAATTAAGGGGTAATTAGGAGTGATTGAGAAGTGATAAAGGAGTAATTAATTGTATTTAGGGGTAATTAAGGGTAATTAATTAAGGGGTAATTAGAGGAAGAGGTTAAATAAAAGCAGGGAGGGTTGTACAGAGGGGAGATGGGGTGGTAATCAGAAATGGTGTTAATTAAAATCTTCATTAAGGGGTAATTAGCGTGGAGGGAGGGGTCACTCACCAATTTTTGGGGGAAAAAACCCAAATTTTTGAGGGGTCAAATCCCAGTTTGGGAGGGAGAAAATCCCAGTTTGAAAGGGAAATCTTTTTAGGGGTGAAACCCCAATTTTGGAGGGCTGAAACCTCAATTTTGAGGGGGTAAAAGCTCAATTTTAGATGAGTTAAACACCAATTTTTAACGAGTTAAATCCCAATTTTTAACGAGTTAAATCCCAGTTTTTAACGAGTTAAATCTCAGTTCTTAATGAGTTAAATCCCAATTTTGGGTCAGTTAAATCCGAATTTTGGGTGAGTTAAATCCCAGTTTTTAACGAGTTAAATCTCAGTTCTTAATGAGTTAAATCCCAATTTTGGATGAGTTAAATCCCAATTTTTAATGACTTAAATCCCAATTTTTAATGAGTTAAATCCCAATTTTGGAAGAGTTAAATCCAAATTTTTAATGACTTAAATCCCAATTTTTAACATGTTAAATCTCAGTTTTTAATGAGTTAAATCCCAATTTTTAATGAGTCAAATCCCAATTTTTAATGAGTTAAATCCCAATTTTGGGTGAGTTAAATCTCAGTTTTTAATGAGTTAAATCACAGTTTTTAATGAGTTAAATCTGTATTTTTAATGAGTTAAACCCCAATTTTGAGGGGTCAAACCCCGATTTTGGGAGGCTCAACCCTTTACGGGAGATCTCGTGGGTCGACAGTGAGGCTTAATGAATGAAAGAATAATTAACGAGTTAATTAATTAAGAGAAGAAGGATTAACGAGGGGTAGGATTTTCAGGGCAGCACCAACTAATGAAAACCGAGGCTAATCAATTAATTAAGCTCTAATTAACTCACCCTTTTCCCCCAGCCCTTTCCGGGGGGGCTCTGGGGGGGCTCCGTGGCTGTGACCGGGGGGGTTTTTCGGGGCTGGGGGCTCGGCGCAGCCCCTTCCTCATGTCCTGGAGAGGGTCCAGGAGGGCTTTGCGCCCCCCCTGCACCTCCCGAGCCCCCTCCCCACTTTTGGGGGGCCGCAGGTACCAGGGGGGGCAGGTCTGGGCCTCGGCCGCGCTCTGGCCCAGGTAGGTCAGGACCCCCAGCGCTCGCTCGCGCCGCTCCTGAGGGGGAAATTGGGGAGGGGGCTTCAGGTGAGGCCCCTTTGAGTGAAAATCCCCCTTTTCTCACCTAAATTCCCTTTTTTTACACCTAAATTCCCCTTTTGTACACCAAAATCCCGCCGTTTCCCACCCCTACCCTTCAATCTCGCGCCGCTCCTGAGGGGGGAAATTGGGGAGGGGGCTTCAGGTGAGTCCCCTTTGAGTGAAAATCCCGTTTTTCCCACCCAAATTTCACTTTTTTCCACCTAAATTCCCTTTTTTCCTCCTAAATTCCCCTTTTTTACACCCAAATCCCGCCATTTTACACCCCCGCCCTTCAATCTCGCGCCGTTCCTGAGGGGGGAAATTGGGGAGGGGGCTTCAGGTGAGTCCTCTTTGAGTGAAAATCCCATTTTTCCCACCCAAATTTCTCTTTTTTCCACCCAAATTCCTGCTTTTTTTCCTCCTAAATTCTCCTTTTTTCCACCCAAATCTCGCCATTTTCCACCCCTACCCCTTCAATCTCCTGCTGCTCCTGAGGGGGAAACTGGGGAGGGGGCCTCAGATGAGCCCTTCCAGGCGGGAATCCCACCTTTTCCCACCTAAATTCCCACTTTTTTCCACCTAAATTCCCACTTTTTCCTCCTAAATTCCTTTTTTACACCCAAATCCCGCCATTTTACACCCCTACCCTTCAATCTCGCGCCGCTCCTGAAGGGGGAAATTGGGGAGGGGGCTTCAGGTGAGTCCCCTTTGAATGAAAATCCCCCTTTTCCCACCTAAACTCCCTTTTTTTACACCCAAATTCCCCCTTTTTTCCACCCAAATCCCGCCATTTTCCACCCCTACCCTTCAATCTCGCGCCGTTCCTGAGGGGAAAATTGAGGAGGGGGATTCAGGCGAACCCCTCCAGATAAAAATCCCCCCTTCTCTCCCTAATTCCCCCTAAAATTCCCTGAATTCACCCCAAAATTCCTTCCCTCCCCCCCTCAAATCCCCCCTCACCCGTTCCCGCCTTTTTTCCGCCTCATGCTCGCGGTTCGGAGCCTCCTCGGGAGGGGGGAAGAGCACGGGGGGGGCCGTGGGCGAGGGGCTGCGACCCCCGACCCGCGCCCGCTTCCTCAGGAGCTCGGTGCGAACCTGCGGGAAGAAAAATCCCCACTTTTATAAACTTTTTTAAACCCACCGCATTTATTTTGGCCCCCCCAAATTATTTAACGCTTCCGATTTTATTTTGCCCCCCCCCAAAAAAAGGCTTTTTTTAGTCCAGCCCATTCCCCCCCAACACGAAAATGATTCACGCCAAGCCGCGTCAATCACACTAAGCCACGCCCATTCCCTGTAATATATTCAAGCGCGCTCACGCTGATTGGCTGTTAGGATTTAGCCACACCCCTTAACCACTCCCTACCCCCCCCCCCCCCGTCCCCTCAGCACTCGCCTCCTGTTCCGCCCGCAGCGCGCGCGCGTCGCGTTTCCTCCGCTCCACCTCGGCCGCCGCCTCGTCCCGCCGCACCCGCGCCACATTGTCCTTGTTCCGCACGTGCCACGACTTCTTCGGGAGGATGTTCATGGCGGCGGCGGCGGCGGGGCCGGCAGCGGCACCGGGCCGCGACTCTAAAGCACGGTGCCTGCACCGCCCTCCGTTCCGCCCTCTCGGTTCTGATTGGTCGAGCCCACTGTCGCTCCGCTCTTACATCGCTCTCTGATTCGTTCGGCCTTTTCGCTCCGCCCCATGGCCGCTCTCATTGGTCGAGAGTTATAATCCCGCCTTCTTCCCGCCTCTGATTGGCTCGCCCGCTTCCCTCAGCGGGGCGAAGCCGGAAGTGGAGGTTTCCCGCCCTCTCGCATTGTGGGAGCGCCGCCATATTGAACCGTGAGGGGAGGCGAGGGCTTCCCTGAAACCTCCCCCCAAAAAACCTCAAAAACCTCCTCGGCATCCCCCAGAATAACCCTAAAACCCCTTTGGGAGCCCTCAGAATCTCCTTGGGAACTCCCGGCCCGAGTTTTTTCCGGATTTCAAGGGTTTGCTGCAAGATTTGCCTCATTTCCCCCAAAGATTCACCTCAGGGCCTTGGAGGTCCGGCAGGATCAGGTCAGTCCAGGGGAATTCGGATCAATTTTTGGTATTTGGGTCCATTTTAGATGTATTGGAGTCAATCTTAGGGATTTAGGGGTCAGTTTTGGGATGGTTTCAGTCAGTTTGGGGTCCCCAAATACACCAAAGATGTCACTCAAGGTTTTTATTGACCTCAATTCTGGGGGGGCCTTTCCAAAAACAGAGCCCCTCCCACTCCCATCCCCCTAAAAAATTTCCCCCGGGGGTGCCCGCAGCCCCCCCAGCTCCCCCCGGGACCCCCAAATCCCTCCCCAGGCCCCCCCTCCTGGGGGTTTGGGTTCAGGGGGGTGAGAGGTTCCCCCTTAAATTCTTCTACTTGGGGTCCCTCCTCTCCCTCACCCGGGGGTCCCCCTGGTTTGGGGCTATCAGATAACCCCAGTTTTTGGGGTTTTCCATTGCGGTTCTTCCCCTTGACCTGAGTATTGGGGTCTGTCCTCATCCCCCTCACCCCAGATTTTGGGGTCCCCCTAAGCTCGGGCTGTTGGGGTTCATCCTCTTCCTCAGCTCCTGGGATTTGGGGTTCAGGGCGTCCCATTCCTCCTGAATTCTGGGATTCGGGGGATCCCCACCCTCGTGAACTTTGGGATTCAGGGCGTCCCATTCCTCCTGAATTCTGGGATTCGGGGGATCCCCACCCTCGTGAACTTTGGGATTCAGGGGATCCCCACCCTCCTGAATTCTGGGATTCAGGGGATCCCCACTCTCCTGAATTTTGGGATTCAGGGGATCCCCACCCTCCTGAATTCTGGGATTCAGGAGATCCCCACCCTCCTGAATTTTGGGATCCTCTCCCTCACCAGGACCCCTCCTCCTCCTCACCCGCCCATCCCCTCCTCCTCCTCCTTCCTCCTCCTCCTCCTCTCCCTCACGCCCCTTTTCCCGCCCTTTTCCCCGCCCTCCTTCCCGCCCTTTTCTTCCCGCCCTTTTTCCCCTCAGGGCCGTGGCCGCCCCCAGGATGAGCAGGGGCACAAGATGGAGGCAGAAATGCACCGAGGCCCAAAAGCGCAGCGTGGCCTCGGCCTCCCGCAGCACGAAACCCATGCTCAGGTACTCGAACGCCCTCATCTTGAGGAACCACTGCCCTCCCCTGAGCAGGGAACCCTTCCAGCCCCTCAGCTCCTCCAGGGGAACCCCGAAATGTTCCTCCAGGGCCGCCTCGGCCGCCGCCTCGGCCGCCAGCCACAGCGGCACGGTGAGGAAGGACAGGTACTGCCCGCCGTGCAGCCCGTGCCAGTAAGCTGAGGCCAGCATGGTCCACGCGTTCCTGGGGGGGTTTTATGAGGGGAAAAAACGAAGAAATGTGGTCAGTGCAAAGGTGGTGCTTACCAGAAATGGGTTAAATTTGGGTTGTGAGGCTTGGAGGGGGTTAAAATGTTATTTATGGGACTCTGAGTTTAGTTTGTGTGTTTCAAATTCAGCCCGGTTGGGGTAAAATTGGGTTTGTGTTGCCTCCAAATCCAGGCTGCTCCACGGAAAGGTCAATTTGCACCCCAAAAATTCGGTTTATTCCCCCCAAATTCCCAAAAGCTCAGCTCCCAATGCCTCAGTCTCCCTCTTTATCCCCCTCCCAGTGCCCCCAGTCCCTCTCCCAGTGCCCCAAATCCCTCTCCCAGTGCCTCCCAGTGCCCCCAGTTCCGCTCCCAGTGCCTCCCAGTCCCCCAGATCCCTCTTCCAGTGGTCCCAATCCTCCTCCCGGTACCCCCCAGTGCCTTCCAGTCCCTCCCAGTGCTCCCAGTCCCCCTCCCAGTGCCCCAAATCCCTCTTCCAGTGGTCCCAATCCTCCTCCTGGTATCCCCCGGTGCCTTCCAGTCCCTCCCAGTGCTCCCAGTCACTCTCCCAGTGCTCCCACTCCTTCCCAGTCCCTCTCCCAGTGTGTCCCAGTGCCCCCAATTCTCCCCTCACTGCCCCAAATCCCTTTCCCAGTCCCTCCCAGTGCCCCCAAGTCCCCCCCAGTGTGCCAAATCCTCCCCCCAGTGTCCCCAATCCCCCTCCCAGTCCCCTTCCAGTGCCCCCCAGTGTCCCCAGTCCCCCCCCCCCCCCCCCCCCCCCCGCGCCCCCCCGCCACGCCCACTCCGCGCGCGCCCACCCCCGACACGCCCACCCCGCGCGCGCCCCGGTTTGGGGGCGGGGCCTCACGCGTCACGCCCCGCCCAGCGGGCAGGTGTGAGGG